ATGTTTTTCCTTTCTTTGGATTTTTCGTTGCCACTTGTGACCAGTGTTGTTCCCCTTTCAGAGTTTATTTGTTCCCCTTTTGGAGCTTATGTGCGGCAGCGAGATTCAGCGCTGGGGAGGGAGCTCTGGTTGATCAGACCTGGCTTTTTGGATTCGCAACCCGTCCGCTCTTGGTCTGTTTCAGCCAACCTTATATACCCTGTTTCGGTATTTTGGTACTCCTCCACTCGCCTGACAATTGCTGACGTTAGATTTTTGTAGTCTCATTCTGCCCTTACAAAAACTTTCGTCTGCTCCATCTGGGGTAATCAGCACTTTGTTGCACACTGCTGTCTGAGTTACTTACTTCCCTAAAAGCGGGGTTATTGTTGGTCATTCAATCAAATTTTGTCTTTATTTTTATCTCCTGTATCTCACAACGCTGCCTTTCCTTTACACTTACAATTAAACTGGTGCTCATTTGACATATTCTGGGTAGGCCTCAATACCTTCCTTTCACAGCCTGGAGGACCACAGAGATGGTTGGGTCCACTAGGGGTAGTGCATGTGGCAGTACATAGAGACCCATTCCCCCTGCCCCCATGGCCTGAGGCAGGAATATGCCCACAGGGCCAGGGCAGGCAGGCAGCCTACCTTAGCCCAGCTGTGTCACCAACCAGGAATCACTTGTAGTAAGCCATTCCCAGCCAGAGCCTGAACCTCACCTGCTCCCTTAGACTGCAACCCCCAGCCACAGCTCACACCAAGACTCCCTCCCAGAGCCTGCCCCGTCACCTCCTCCCACACACCGTCATCCCTGGCCTCAGCCTAGAACCCCTTCCTGCACCTAAACTCCTTCGCCCCCACCTGAACTACAGCCCTCTGCCCCAGTCTCAGCTTGTAGCCCCCCTCCCACACTCCAGACCCTTTGGCCCCAGCGTGATGGAAGTGTGAGGGGGGGGGGATTGAGTGACTAGGTTTATCTGTGGGCAGAAGAACCCACATTTCACTTTAGCTGGGTTGTGAGCAGCTGTAAGGATCCACCCATGTGGATCTCTAAGGTGCTACAGGACCATTGTTGTTTTTAAAATTTTGTTAGTTACAGATTAACATGGCTACCTCTCTGAGACTTTCAAAATGGTTATAGTATTACATTCACAACACAACTTTCAATGGCTTTTTAGTCTCAGATATAACTAGAACTAGTACCTATATACATTTTTATATTACCAGATTATTTAATTTACAAAGTACAGCAATGAAGGGAGAACATTAAATCCTTTCTTTTACGAAATTGCAAATATTCCATGGAGTTGCTTCATAGTATCCTACTACAGTTTTCACTTTGTCTATACAGGGCTTTATAGTGTGGCTACTTTACAAAGATACAAGGAATTTAGCGTCTACACTATAGATACAGGCACACATACATTGTCTCATAGATACCGCAAGAGGAAAGTCCAAATCCTGCTTTCACATTAACAAGTACAACTCTCACTGAATTCAGTGTGCTGTGTGCAAGTATCTAAAGTCAATTTGGCTCAATGACTTTAAAGACTTACCAGAAATTATTTCTGATGCAGTAATATTTATAGTATAGATTCTTTAACTATGTAAAGAAATTTCAATGAGGTTCAAGAATAAGGCTCCCTTGGGTCATTAATGGTGCAGGCCAGTGTTTTTCAATTTCAGGCCTGTGGACCCATGTCGTCCACAGACTATGTCCATGAGGGTCTGTAAAAGGTCATTGTTGCCATAGAACAGTGATTTTTCAACTGTGATCTGTGGACAACATGGGGGTCCACAGAGTACATCTAAGATTTCCAAAGGGGTCTGACCTACATTTCAAATTTTTAGAGGTTAACAACAACTCTCTGACTATGGTTATCCAGCCAATTATGCACCCACCTTATCGTGGCCCTATCTAAGTTATATTTGCCTAGTTTATCAATAAGAATATCATGCGAGACCGTATCAAATGCCTTACTAAAGTCTAGGTATATGACATCCACCGCTTCTCCCTTATCCACAAGGCTCGTTATCTTATCAAAGAAAGGTATCAGATTAGTTTGGCATGACTTGTTCTTCACAAACCCATGCTGGCTATTCCCTATCACTTTATTACCTTCCAAGTGTTTGCATATGATTTCCTTAATTACCTGCTCCATTATCTTCCCTGGGACAGACGTTAAACTGACCGGTCTGTAGTTTCCTGGGTTGTTCTTATTCCCCTTTTTATAGATGGGTACAATATTTGCCCTTTTCCAGTCTTCTGGAATCTCTCCTGTCTTCCATGATTTTCCAAAGATGATAGTTAAAGGCTCAGATACCACCTCTATCAGCTCCTGGAGTATTCTAGGATGCATTTAATCAGGACCTGGTGACTTGCAGACATCTAACTTTTCTAGGTGATTTTTAACTTATTTTTTTATTTTATCTTCTAAACCTACCCCCTTCCCACTAGCATTCACTGTTCGGCATTTCTTCATCAGACTTCTCGGTGCAGACTGAAACAAAGAAGTCATTGAGCATCTCTGCCATTTCCAAGTTTCCTGTTACTGCTTCTCCCTCCTCACTGAGCAGTGGGCCTACCCTGTCCTTGGTCTTCCTCTTGCTTTTAATGTATTTATAAAAGGTCTTCTTGTTTCCCTTTATGCCTGTAGCTAGTTTGATCTCATTTTGTGCCTTTGCCTTTCTAATCTTGCCCCTGCATTCCCGTGTTGCTTGCCTATATTCATCCTTTGTTATTTGTCCTAGTTTCCATTTTTTATATGACTCCTTTTTTATTTTGAGATCATGCAAGATCTCCTTGTTAAGCCAAGCTGGTCTTTTGCCATATTTTCTATCTTTCCTACACAGCGGAATTGTTTGCTTTTGGGCCCTTAACAACGTCCCTTTGAACTACTTCCAACTCTCCTCAGTTGTTTTTCCCTTCAGTCTTGCTTCCCATGGGACCTTACCTACAAGTTCTCTGAGCTTATCAAAATCTGCCTTCCTGAAATCCATTACCTCAATTGTGCTGGTAGATTCTGGGTTAATCTTAAATCCAAAAAGTGACGGTGGCTATGTCTACACTGGCCCCTTTTCCGAAAGGGGCATGCTAATTTTACAGGTCGTAATAGGGAAATCCGCGGGGGATTTAAATATCCCCCGCGGCATTTAAATAAAAATGTCCGCCGCTTTTTTCCGGCTTTTAGAAAAGCCGGAAAAGAGCGTCTACACTGAAAAAGAGCGTCTACACTTGCCCCGATCCTCCGGAAAAAAAGCCCTTTTCCGGAGGATCTTATTCCTACTTTGAAGTACTTTGAAGTAGGAATAAGATCCTCTGGAAAAGGGCGCTTTTTCCGGAGGATTGGGGCCAGTGTAGACGCTCTTTTCCGGCTTTTCTAAAAGCCGGAAAAAAGCGGCGGACATTTTTATTTAAATGCCACGGGGGATATTTAAATCCCCCGCGGATTTCCCTATTACGACCTGCAAAATTAGCATGCCCCTTTCGGAAAAGGGGCCAGTGTAGACATAGCCCATGTGTGTAAAAAGGTTGGAGACCACCGGTTTAAAAGGACTTCTTTAAAATTCACAACCATTACCACCTTAGTAGTTGAAAATGTACTTTGGATTATTTTAATGCGTTCAGTTTTCCTTCTCCCACTCAGGAGAAAAAATCCAACTGCTATTGGTTGGCTCTTAACTCCTGAAGTAAAACTCAGGACACACATGTGTAGCTATGCATTTACTGATAATGCTAGTTCAGTTTATTTAGGTTTGCATTTTTAAGCCTGCTACAGAACCCTTTACTCATCCTCTTCCTGTGGGAAAAGCGATTGAACAAAAGCCTAATTCTTCTCTCATTTAATCCAGTTTTACACGGATGTAATTCCACTCACGTCCTGACTTACAGGGCGTGTAAAACATCCACCTTAAAAGATGTAATAACTGCATGAAGTGCAAGGCAGGGGAGAATCAGGTTTCATATCACCACACAACTTTGGGCAACAACCTCTGATAGCTGTGGGAGGCCCAGGCCAGGTCTCAGCCTTGTCAGCCAGGAGCTCTGGGCGGGCCTGTCTCCCTCAGAGGCTGGGCCCCGACTGAGCTTCCTAGCAGAGTTCTTATAGCCCTAGCCACACCCCTTAGCTTCCTGTCAGGTGAGGGGGCGGGGCTAGGCTGTGCACAAAATGGCTCCCAGGGGTGTGTGAACATGAGGTTCACTTTCAGGGGAGGTGTGAAGGTAAAAAGGTTAAGAACTCCTGGTCTAGTACATACCCTACAGCCTTTCTACTTGCCCAAGTCATGCAGTCTCTCTCCCGGAGGTGATCCTTTAACATTTCAGATCACTAGCCAGACAATATGGAGCAACTTGAGTTGCTGCTGCCTTTAATGTATGGCTATGTCTACACAGCAGCATTACTTTGGAATAACGTCAGCTAATAACGTCAGTTATTCCGAAATAATGTAGTGCGTGTCTACACAGCAAGCCTGTTATTTCGAAATAAATTTGAGATAATGGGCTTCTTTCTTCAACACCTGTAACCCTCACTGTATGAGGAGTAAGCGCACATTTCCTCTGGCTTCCCTATCTCAAAATAACTGCGGAGTAGATAGCGCCAAAAGTCGAAATAAGTTATAAATAAGCTAGAAATAAGCTACGCAATTAGCATAGCACAAGTCGAGTAACTGAGTTTAGCTCTACTGTGCAGATGTGCCCTATGTGTTCTGTGGCTACAGGACCTCAATTTATAGAGGTGTCCAGCACTTTTCATGAGTGTTAAGCAAATGGCCAAAAAAAGTGAAAAATTTGCTTTAGGACATGAAGGCATAAACTTTCCAGCTACTAGAACTAATAGCTGAATGTATCACCTATACCCCCATACAACTTCATTGTCATGGTCCTTAGTGACTTAGGAGACTATGTTCAATTGAAGATGAACAAGACTGATGCTCTGAAGTCATTTTGGCGCGTCTGAATATTTTACCGATTATTCCTTACATTTAGCATGGCGGAAAACAGATATACTCTAAAGTGTGAGCATCAGCAATCCATCTTTATTTCAACCGCATCTTTCTTTTGGGAAAAAAAATAGCTACGTGCTAAAAGAAAAATAAACATACATACAAAATTAGACAACAGAAATGCCCAAGAAAGCAGATGACTGATCTCAGGATGTGCATTAACAGAATGCCAACAATGTTTAAATAAAAATAATCTTATATTCTTGCTTCTAAAGAATATTATACACCTCATGTAAAACTGCAACTGTACAATATATTTTAAATAGGGATTTCTCATGGTAACGTGAACAAAATTTGAATTATTAGAACTCCAATACAAAAATACATCCTTATAATACTGCTACAGCATTTTTATCTTCAAAAGTTTTGTATACACTTTTAACTAATTGATCCTCACATCATCTCTGTGAGGTAGATAAGTATTATTAGACCCGTGTCACAGAGAGGGGAATTAAGTTACTTGCCCAACTTCACACAGTGTTAATCAGTGCCAGACCTGGAACCCACAACTACCTGACATCCGGTTCCATTGTCACTTCCCAGGATGTGTATTACCTCTCTCTAACATATAGTTTGAGTTCAGTTGATTATTTATACCTAAATACCAAGAAAAGCCACAGAGCACAAATGTAATATTTCAGTGCTAAAACTTTAAGCTGTTATTAATTGTCTTTCATTGTACTTCCAATATATTTGAACTTCCACATAATTATCTGTTTTGGGATCTATTAGACACTAAATATGTAGTGGACTCAATGGGGCAAATTATGCTCTGACTTACATCTCTCTGAATTCAAGAGTAACCATCAATGGGGTCACTGCAGTGTAGATTAGAATACTTCTGGGTATATTACTTCTAGATTTTAATGAAGTCTTTGATATGGATCATTAGAAAAGTTCATTACAAACTTATCAGAAAATCAAACCGTACAGGTTGAACCTCTCTTGTCCAGCACTCTCTGGTCTGGCAACATTTGTGGTCCGGCATGATGTTAGTGAGCCATATGTCCACTTATCATGGGCGTGGCCAACTTTCCCAGTCCCACAAAGTTTGTTCACAGCCACCGGTCCTGGCTCACAGTGTTCTGTGCTGTTAGTTAGCTCTACTTTACCTCTAAATGTTTTCTAAGAGTCCAGTAAGCAGTGGAAGTGTTGAAAACGCTGCTAGATAATATTGACTTCCTGTAGTTCGGCAAATTCTCTGGCTATACACCAGTCAAGTGCCAGACTAGAGAGGTTCAACCTGTATTAGAAAAGTCGAAACAATGTTACCTGACGATTATGAAAGAATGCAAAACTCTGTGGCTGTAGCTACAAAGGAATTATACGTGATAGAGAATCAAACTGCAAAGAGGCTTCAAGTATTACAGATTATCAGAACCTAGCAAACACAGTATTTTCATACATCAGAGGAAAGAGCAAACTGTACACTGATAAAACAGATTACACCGTGTTGGAGTCATTCTGAACACAGTGGAAAGCAGAAGTGACCAAAATGACATGAGTTTAGAGATTGGGCAAAATAAGACCAGAGGGTGTACTCTACAGTTTGGAGCACCTCAACATGAAGAATAATATTGTTAAACTCTATGAGCTGAAGGGCACGTATAAGTTTATCAAGATGGATAAACAAATTTAAACTGTCAAATCTGGAATGGATTTGATTCTGGAGTAAGACAAAGGTTCAACTTGCCCCAAAGGCAGGAGGCTAGATGATCTTCCTATTCTCTATTCTCTATGAGCCTTTTGAGAGAGAAAAAATTCAATGTTATGTTTAAGTTTTTCAAACCTTTTGGCCAACTGTGTTTTTCTGAAGCTATGATGTCTGCTACTAGCAACGCATACACATTGAATATGCCAGTGTGTGAGCGTTCACACTATCTGAATGTGAAATAAATGAAACAAGGATTCAGATTTTGCATAATAACCAAATAAGACTGCAAACACTAACAAATGATTATAGAAAAGTAAAGTGAGTCTATATAAGTGTTTAACTGTCAGATGATCAAAAGCAAAACAAATTATTAGTGTGTTGGCAAAATATAAGGCATACACATTACTTTTTATTCACATAATGAATGTGTAGTGTGGGTTATTATTCCCTCACAGACAATGCAATACAAGGGGCATGATCCTGATCTTAGGCCTACTGCAGTCAATGGAAAGGCTCCTGCTATATCGACTTAATGGGTTTTGGATCATGCCTTATGAGTGTAAGCAATGGAAGGTGAGTTCAGTAGATATGTAATCAGAGGAAATATCCCCATAAAGAAAGTACCAGAGTAAAACAAATCTGTTGGATAAATGGAATAATTAGCACATTCACATAAGCTTTAGGTAACTATTATTATCTGCCTCATCTTTGTTATAAATACAGAGAAACTATTATTAAATTGAACAAACTTCTACTCTGTCACTGCAATTCAATCAATTGATTTAGGTCAGTAGTAAACTTTAAGGGAAGGAATTTTCATTTAGTTGACATTTGTACAGCACCCGGCACGTTAGGGCATCAGTCCCTAGATGCTACTGCGATATAAACATTAAATACATTAAACAATCGCAAACGAATTGCATCAGTGTAACAGAGCAGAATTTGGCCCAGGCAGTGCCTTAAAAGAATTCAGCAGATAATCATTCTATTTCAACACAAAACTGAGTTACATTACCTTCACTATCCATGGCTAATTAAAGTGACCAGATTGACTGTATACAAGCTCCTGAAATGTAATGTACCCTCTTCATTCCCACTGAGCATAGGGACTGTAGCCCCATGCAAGATGTCTAGGTGTAAGTTGATGCACAGGCTTAAGTGCAGTATGTAAGGAAACAAGATCCACATAATTCCATGCAATCCTAGATGTACAGAGAAAGAAGCAAAAACTGTATTCATATACGGTTCGTTCCTGAGCCCACTAGGGAAACTGTGAGACTTGCATGGAGATAAATGGAAGCCTACACCTATGTAATTCAACCATCACTCAATTTTGCATTAATTATTGCCCAATGGTTCACAAAGTTTGGGAGCATAAATCTTTGCTTTCTGGCATAGTTTTCTGCATTTTGAACATTTCTGAAAGGAAGAAGATAGGAATTTTCTAATCTTAAAGTAAACATATATAACCGGTATATGTCTCATGTATCAAGTGTCTTCAGATATACACAATATTTGCAAATTGCATTTCAATTAATACATTCTACAATGCAATAAACTGATCAACCACTGGAATGTAGGTCTTAAAAAGCTCAGATCAAATAGATAATTAGATTAAATTGATTCTTTCCATTTTTAAATCAGAGATTTTTTTTTCTTTGAAACTACAAAATAGGATAAATATTTACCCTCAGATCGGAGGATGTAAACCCACACATGGGCTTTCTTACCATTACTTTTACAGAGGCAATTTTGACAGATAAACAAAAGCATTTTTTATAACAAGACAATACCTGTATTTGGAGCTTACTCTTTTTGGTTTATGGTGAGAGAAAATGAGCATGATCTAAATAAGAATGCACTGTCATGATATTGTATTGCCTCGTTACTCTCGCTATAAAATAGATAAGAAAGTATTGGTGCATATGCCTGCTAATTCAGTCTCTCACAAAAAAGAACGCACCTAACAACTGCCTTTTAAACACTGTGTTAGAACATGTGATCAACAAAACAATATTTTTTTAACAAAGAACGTAACTAGAAATGCTCACATTTATGTAAGTTACATAAAGATATGCTCATTTGGTGTTCATGCTTTTACAAATATAGAATGAAAGGAACCTATCTGCCTTTGCAAACCACATTTAAACTTACAAGTACATGCATTATACATTGATGCAACTTGCAAAGGTAACTTGATTAGTTACACCTGCCAACTTGCATGAAAAAGGTGTGTAACGGTTCACCACATACCATATTATACTAACATGTAAACATTTTTAAGTTGCGTGGATACCCAGCTAAGTTAATTACATAATTTAGGGCCCTATTTAGTGATGAACGGCGAATTTCCTTCCCCGCCACCCCTGTGACTTTTACTCAAGCAAAAGGGGCTCTGGACTCTTCTAAACAAGTTTGTTAAGTGACAGCTGTGTCCCTCATCACTATACTATAGATCTCATGCTTAGTGATCAGTTGGGGAGGTGGTAGCCCAGAAAACGGCAGAAACAAGGGAAAAAACAGGGATCGGTTAAAACACACAAGTTATACATTCTGAAGCAGCATAAGGCGGGAGGGATGTTATGATAAGAAGAGTCTAACAAGTATGGTCACATGGATACTAAAACCCACATATAGCACAAGGAGGAATTTAAAACCGAGATATAATAAATAAACTCAAGGACTGAGGTGACAGAGCAGGATCCATAATGCAGGCAGGAGAGTTAACTTGAAACATATGTACCAAGCAGGAGCATTAGCATTTTGATCAGCAGGATTCAAGGGGAATTTCAGGCCAACATACAAGTTAGGGATGTCCAATCCCATGTAACTGATTAACTGGTTAAAAGTAATGTGGGTTAAATCTAGGTGGGCTGGGGCAGACTCCCTCCTTCCTTCCCCCGCAGGCAGGGACAGCTCCAGTCTGGCTACTCTTAGCCCCCTAAGCGGGGCTGCCAACTCCAGGTCCCATCCTCCACAAGGGCTGGGAGCTGGCAGTCCCATGCAGGGGCTAGTAGAACTGGAGCAAGCCTCTACCCACAGCAGGCCATGGGGCAGGTGCTGCTCCTGGGTACCAATTAACCATTACCTAGTAAGCATCACCTGTTAAGGTACATCTGAGCACAGCATCCCTCTACTGAGTGATGCTTACCGGTTACCCGGTTACTCATTCACATCCCTCATACAAGTTATCTGAATTATAGATATTGGTATTTGGTATCATCTAAACAATTTAGGCTGAATTAATCAGCGCCATAGTCAGTGATGAATCCTGGAATCAGGCAGTTACGTGAGGCGTCTGGGTAGCAATGTCGTCGACGTGGAATTTAATGCAGAGAGGTGACGATAAAGCTTACCCTTGTAAACGGTGAAAGCTCAAAACTGACCCTCTTTAAAACAGCCACTTTCTATGTACATGTTTACTTCACCTCAGACAAGTCCCTGACTCTTGTCTAGTGCTGCTGCCCTGGTTCTGTGGATCCCTGCCTTTGGTGGAAGCAACCTTTTGGAAGAGAATCAAGGAAAAAACTCGATCTTGCACTGACACGCATCCCGACTAGCTGAACAAGCTCCAGGTTGGTGTTTTTGGAGCAGTGGTGGGCCACCTGCCGAGGTTCTACGTGGGGCCCACGAGACATTTTATTTACCATCGTCCATGTGCAGGGTTGCCAGATTCTGCCGGTTTTTGTCTGTGTAGAATTTTTCCTACCGGTATTACTGAAGTGGCACGCACAAGCGAGGACATGGGAAGCGAGGCGCGTGCTGATCGCATGCAACATCGTCGGAGCCGTGCGCGCCCTCTGCATCCAATGAAAATGCTGCTTCGCTTCAGTCAGCATGCCCCACACATTCTAGGTACACAAGCACAATGAGCAAAACTCCTCTATCCTGGGAGACCATCTTGGTTATGACAATCTTGTGGCCCACTGAGATGAAGGAGGGCCACTCATGTGGCCCCTCCACTAGCCACGATCGCCCTTTACTGTTCTAGAAGCATAGAGCATGGGTGGTGGAAATAAACAGGAAATCATAAAGAAACTAACTTGCCATTTACCATGATCACTTCAAAACAAGACCTACTAAGGCAAATGGACCCGAAATTTTCAAAACCAGACAAATTATATGCTAGTGATGAGAATCTTCACAAATAAAGACACTCCCCACGCTTGCATAATATTGATAGATAAAGCCAGGAAGGAGAACCATGCTCAACGTTTCCAGATATTTGTGTTTTTCAAGGCAGGTACTTTTATCAATCTCAACTGCTTTCTTAGTGCTCAGCACACAGTACAAGGGAAAAAAGGAGTCAAACAAAAGTGAGCTGCCGTGTCCAACTACTGCATCCTGTGGTATTTAAAGAGCTCAGAAAATGACTCTATCTTCCTGGGTTCTTTCCCACCAAAGTGTGCTGTTTAGGGTTCCAAAATTGTTATCTTCCTCTTCTTGCTCTTTAACGAGCTCCACAAAAACCTTAAAAAAAAAGAGACCAAAATGGCGTCAACAGTGTATTCAGTGTAAGAGATTCAGACTGCAAGGATCGGAACACCTACCAATGAGAGAAAATCCACGGAAATGAATTGCAAAAGTGGGACCTACTGCATCAGTATTAGGGTCGAGGAGTCCTGTTGCACCTTACAGACTAACTGCAGTGTTGGAGCATAAGCTTTCATGGGCAAAGAGCCACTTCGTCAGATGCATGTATTAGGGTCGACAACTACACGACCGGCCGACTACACGACTGGCCGATAAGCCTGGGCTTATCCGTTAATCCTGTTGACTACATGCATGCCTCCCACCCCTTGCTGCCTTTGTATCGGGGAGGAGGCAGGAGCAGGTGCTTTTCAGCCAGCTCCCCACAAGCATCAGATCTGCCTGACTCTTCCCTTCCCTCAGGCTGCTGCCTCTGTTGGAGGGAGAGAAGGAGGCTGCCACAGAGCAGCCTAAGTCTGTGGCAGGCCCAGGCTCGCTGCAGACAGAGGCTGTTCTGTAGCAGAAGCCCCTATGTGTGGAGGCTCCGAGCTCCCTGCGGACAGAGGCTGCTCCGCATCCCATAGAGCAGCCCTTGTCCGTGGGGAGCCCTGGTCTCCCATAGATAGGGGCTGCTGCCACCAAGTGTTGCTGCCTCTGTATTAGAGGCAGCAGCATGGGGCAGCAGGCAAAGCCAGTCTGTATGGGGAACTGGTTTTTAAACCGGCTCCTGAACGCCACATTGCTCCTGATAGAAAGGCTGTGGGGTGGAAGGGAGCTCCCTGTGGATGGGGCTAGAGCGCACTGGCTGCCGGCCCTGCTTCGGGAGACTGTCGAATAGTCGTGTAACCACTAACATTTGATGCGGTTACACGACAATTCAGTTACATGCTATTTAACATCCCTAATCAGAATGAATAGGTATATTGACCCCCCAGGATGGAGAGTCAGGACTTTTGTGCCTGTCGCACAACAAAAGAAGTAGCCTGCATCAAATGCGAACTGCAGAGTTATCGATTGCCGGCCATAATAAATCCATGGATTCATCCAGTTTGCACTGGCAAATGACATGGAATTTTTAAATACAAAACATTACAGAATGTTTTTAATAATTCCTAAAGACAAGGAATTGCTTTGTTCCAATCATTGTCGTTTCCACGCCTTTTGTTTGTGACTCCTACTTACAATCCTGCTTTGAAAGTCAATGGGATTTATGTCCCTAAGCACTTATGTCAGTTTTGGAAATGACCCTTCTGCTCTGACTTAGGCACTTTTAAAAATTTTTCCTTATAAAACCATAATATACAGATTTTGTGAAATGACCCTTCTGCTCTGACTTAGGCACTTTTACAAATTTTACCGTATAAAACCATAATATACAGATTTTGTTTTTTTACAGCTATGAAATAAAATTTGCTTCCTATACCTGTTCCAAGGTTGCTTGAGAAAAGTTGTATTCCTCGATATTAAAGGCATGTTTTGCTGTCAAAAGGGTTAGAAAAAGAAAGTGCATTTAATAACAATTCATCGTCAAAGGATGCAGTCAGTGCCAGAAGAAAACTGGATGGGGTGGGGTGGGGCCCTGCTGGCTGATCGCTGGCACGCAAAAGGGGCTGGACCAGAAGGGGGATTGGCTGACCCCTGCATTGTAGCTTTGCTGCCCCACCAGCATCATCAGCCGCTGGTCCCTCACTCACTGCTGGTGGGAGAGCAGCTGGCAAGGAGGGATCTGACCAGCAGCAGGACCCATCAGAACTGATGAGACACAGAAAATATGGGACAATGTGCCCGTTTTCAAGAAGATCAGGACACCTTCAGGAGGATTAGAATATGGAAGTGTCCCTTTAAAAACAGGATGTCTGGTCATCTTACTACAACCACCATAATCTTTCTCCATTCCCACTGGGATGCCCTGGGATCCCTCCTGCCCATATCCTGGTATCCTTGCCCCCTCACCCAAAAAAAAAAAAGTTTAGACCCTCAGCTCAGGACATTCTGACCTGAGATGCTAAAACAAGGTCATTCTCAGACCCCTATGGAGGTCTGTTCTCACTTGCAGGGCTGTGAGTGAATATTCAGACAAACACAAAAACGCCTTCTTTCAAAAAGATCATGCAACCAATATTGCCAAGACAAACAAAAATGTGTGCGTTGGTGACAGGCATAAGGGAGAGGCAAGGTTACCATGGACGAAAACATGCTTCTTGGATTTTAAGGCAAGAAGGGACTGTTATGTTTATCTATGGTGTACTGTGTAACACAAGCCATAAATCACCATCTGGCAATTAATTTGCAGCAGCATCTCTTTAAGAAACGCATCCAATTTTGACTTTAAAGCAGCGTTTCTCAAACTGTGGGTTACGACTCTCGGGGGGTCGCGAGCAACTTAAAGGGGGGTCGCAGCTGGAGTCAGTTTTTCACTTGCAACCCCTCTCTCCCGGACTGCAAAGAGCAGCAGGGCAGCGGAAGGCAGCTGCCGGCAAGCCACGCAGCATGGCCAGGACTGCGGGACTCCAGGTGCACGGCTCAGCTGCAGCAGGAGGCAAGGCGGCGGGAGAGTGAGGCCAGCACCGGCACAGGAGCGGACATGCAAGGAGCTGGCTGGGGCACGGTTGCTGGGTGACCAAACGCTTCCCCAGCTGGGAGAGGGCGGGGTCTCTCAGGCAGTAGACTGGGGGATTGGGTCGGGGCAGAGGGCTCGGAGACAAATAAGGGCACGTAGGGGTCAGAGGAGGAGGCAGAGGAGACACAAGAGAGGAGTGGAGGATGGAGGAGAGGCGAGAGAAAGAGAGAGAGAAGGAACCAAAGGGTCGCGGAACAGAAAGAGGCACAGAGGTGAAAGAGACGAGGAGAAGGGAAGGGTGTTGAGGACCTCAAACGTCTTGAAGGAACCCCAGGAGGGCAAGGAGTCTGGTGAGAAGGGGGGAGGAAGCAACCCAGAGCAGTGAGGGTGGGGATCACACACATTCATTTAGCATTTTAGGGGGTCGTGGTATCACAAAGCTTGAGAACCCCTGCTTTAAAGATTAAACAATGAAAAATCTACCACATGTCTTTAGTACTCTGTTCCAGTGGATAATGACCCTAACTGCTAACCATTCAGGGTACGTCTACACTACAGAGAAGATAGAAGCTGCCGCTGTCAATTTGCCAGGGTTCAAATTAGCGGGTCTAGTGAAGACAGCTAATTTGAATTGACAGGCACACTCCGATTGATGCCGATAGTCCTGCTTCCATGAAGAGTAAGGGAAGTCGAAGGGAGAGTGTTCTCCCTTCGACTTCCTGCAGTGCGGACAGCGCCAAAAGTCGAGTTGAGGTACTTCAACTTCAGCTACACAATTAACGTAGCTGAAATTGCATATCTTAATTTGACTTTGTCCCGTAGTGTAGACACAGCCTCACACTTTATACCCAGTTTGATTCTTTCTAGCTTCAACTTCCAGTCACTGAGGCTTATTGTGTCCTTTGTCTGCTAGATTGAAGAACCTTCTAGAATTAAATATATTTATCTGATCTAGGTACTTCCGGACGGAAATAAGAACTGAACCATGTTCGTGATGCATTTGCATCAGTTTCGTTCTTTTTACCTTGAATTGTGAACACAAGTACAGAGTACAGCATGGTTATGTACATTCATGTCTTTTACGAGGAAAGAAAGTTTGAAAGGGCAGGAATCATGAAGTGGAGGTTAACATGAAAAGCTAACCAAACTAAGTGAATTTTGAGGCAAGATTTGAGGAGGAGTCATGTTACATGGTACACAGGATCTGGGAGAATATTGCAGGCTGCATGGTAGGCAAAATGATTTCCATTTACATTGTTTGCTTGGCAAATATTTAGTCTTACCTTCTTCCAGCTTGGAAAAAGAATGAGAGAGAGATTGTACATCTTCCTTAGGAATTTTATAGGCCAAAATGGAGGCAAAACTGAAAAAAATAAAATAAAAACACAGTGAGAGATTCTCAGGTCACAATTGCTGAAAGCAAAAGGAAAGAAAAACATTTCACATGACTGAGTATAAGTCCCTTTTCTATGAAATAGGCAAAGCACTGCAAGCTAATCGTGTCATGACACAGTCACAGGAATGACCATTTGGGATCAGATGATTTGGCCAGAATCCGATGCACCAGCCAAGATCCCTTTGAAGACACCATAAAAATTGAAGCCATCCCTCTTTGGCACCTGAGACAGAGGCATCTGCAAGGCTCTTACTTATTAGGTATTCTCTTTGGTGGGTAGTTCAAAAAAAATCCAACCACCTGGTTTAGTCCATTTAAAAGGAGAAATGCCAAGGTCGCACCCTAAGAATTAAGAGGCTGACAGAGTCACCTGGCCAGGATTTCTTAGGTCAATTTCTTGGACCGGGACAAAAATAAAGATCCAGAATGGAAAAATCTGTCCCCCGTTGATCTCCTTTCTCACACTGATCTCTCCACCCAAACAGCCCCAGCTGAAGAGAGTTCTTTGGGTATTTCTATGATGGTCTCTCCCTGGGCCTTTGTGAACAGTCAGCAAAGTGGAATAAGGTATTACTCTTAAGAGTTGGCACTTACCCACTGACATAAATTCAAGTAAATTTAGCATTTCAACAGAACGTACAGAAGAATTCTTGATGACTAAGTAAAAAAGACGTGGCCAAGCACTGAGGCCTTCAGAGTTCAAGCTGCCTTCAGTATTTGCAGGACTACAGGTACCATCTAAGCTTCTTGGAGTGGGGAAAAGGTCACTCTCAGCAAAAAAATTACCAGGTCACAACGTTTAACTGCCGCATATAGGCAGTTAGTTCGGACTAGGGTGATTTTAAAATGGCGCCTGGACGGGAAGATGCAAATAAAGCCCGGGATATTTAAATCCCCGGCTTCATTTGCAACTTTGAATGCCTACATTAGCCTCCCTAGTTCGAACTAGGGAGCTAGTGTAGACATACCCTAACAGATTTAGTGAGGCAGAAGCTTTCGCGATGCACCTGACGAAGTAGGTTTTTGCCCATGAAAGCTTATGCGCAAATAAATCTGTTAAACTTTAAGATGCCACAGGAATTCTTGATATTTTTTTTTCTTGTCAGTGCCGATCCTCTATTTATTAACTGTTACCTTTCCTGGTGACTTGCATTGGGGAAGATGTGTAAAATCTGCTTGTGAAGAAACTCCACCTGTTGTAGGCCCGCTGTTTCGTTTAATTTCATTTCCAAGAAGTAGCCTTTGCCATATTTGCTCTTTAGATGCTGAACTGAACCAATACACCTATGGATTGTTGAGACAAATACCGTCATGTAAAAAACCAGAGCTGATTCCAATAGTTGCTTTTTATGAATTAGATTCTTGTATAAGAGGCTTACGATGAATAACCAAGGGGGCTGTACTTTTTAAAAATGTGATAAATGTGTTCAAAATGTGTATATTCTTTTACCCCAAAGTTCCAGATATGCATGGACAGTGTAGGGGAGCCTGGACCAAAACAACATCTGCCTTGTCCAAAGTAGGGATTGCTAACAAAGCAAAACCCAGGCCTGTCTCAAGTCTGGTGCACACAGCACACAGGAAAGGCTGGGGGGAGAGCTTTGGGAGGCAGGGATGTTTTGCACAATCACGCAAATTCAGCACAGCACAATGAGATCATGCAAAGAAGATCAGGAGCAACCTGGTACCGGTACATTTTATTTCTGATAAGCAAAAAATCAAGCTACAGCCACAAAATTGTTAACCAAGCACATACTTTTTGTAACCTCCTGAGTAGCCTAACGTACGCCAAATATGGGCATAATAGGTATCTTACACAATATGTAATCAATTGGTAGATATTACAACGACCAAGCCGAGTATAAATATAGGTGTAGAATAGATAGTCAGGGGAAGGGACTAGGTAAAGTGTCCCCACTACCTTACTCACTGCAGTTAGAAGTTTAATCTGGTCCTACTGGCAAATGCATTGTGGACGACTCTGCTTGTGAGGAAAGAAAGAGGCCACAACCTTCCATCCGACAACTGTAAGTTTGCTAATGGTGGAACTGTGCGGGATTTATAGAAATAAGTATGTGTATGTTCATATCCTTAAAGTTAAATACCTCGTGTATTGTCCTAGGTGTAGATGTTATTACCTTGTCTGTGCTACCTATCCCATTTATTGGAACAGATCTGTGGAACTTTGCATTGCTTTTCTTTACTATTCTGTGTAAAATAAAGTTAGAAATAAAGTTTATCCTTTCGTGTCTGATGGCTCGAACACACGACAGACAGCTGAAGTGGACAATACCTTAACTGTCCAGAGACCAGGATTGCAACTCGATCACACACAGCTTCGGCTTCTTCCATATAGTGAGTGGTGAGAATAGCAGCTCTCTCTTTGCTTTTAAATGCCGCTCGAATTGCCCTCCTGAAAAAAAACCAACACACGATGAAAAATAATAAGTACAGTTATAAATTACCTTGAACGTGACATGCAATATGCTGGGAAAATTACACTTGAGGAATAATGAACACAAACTCCTCAGCCATAAGGCTCAGCTTTTTTCATTCAAGAGTCAAAAAAAAAAAAAAAAAAGCAAATGTTTCTATTTCTTTTCCATTTGAGGCTTTTTCAGTTATTTGAAATAAAGACATTACATTTCAGTATTTTGCAGGCATTTGGATATTCACTAGTCTCCTAATCCCAACAGTCTCACTGTTCAAAGAAAATGCAAATTTAAAATGCCAAGTGAATACTATGTAGGCACACAGAAGTAATCTTGCCTACTGCAGGATCCGGGAGGAAATTCCACAATTTGGGGGAAAACATTTCTTTGGTGGGTTTCTTTTTCATTTCTTTTTCCTCTGCAGGATCCGGGAGGAAATTCCACAATTTGGGGGAAAACATTTCTTTGGTGGGTTATTTTCCTCAAAAACAACGACATAAAGCTGCTCTGAAGTTTGGACTGCCGGAGTAAGTTCTGGGAGAGATGGGTTATTAGGAAAAGAGCTGTTGCAATGATCAAATGTGTGTGATAAATTCTTATATCACATGGTTCTGCAGCTTGTCAGCTGACTCTGGACTTCGTCCCATGGATATTACCATGATAAGCAGCGTTCCCTATAAGTTGAGCATTTGGGTGGCAGGTATTTGCCAGCTGATTAGCCGAGTGCCCGCTGTGCCTACCACCAGCAGCATGTGTTTCTATTGTGAACATGCCTTTCTGTTGTGAACTTCTGCACATGCCTCAATGCACATATCAAAATTTATTCCCCACATGGATGGAAAAAAATTAGACAAGCATGGTACAGCCTGTACGAAACACACACAACAGTTTGCCGCTTGGCTTCCAGAGGCACTGCCTCTTTCTCTACAGTGGTGATAAGCAGTGGAGTTCAGATTAAAGCCCCTTGGTATAACCTCGTAGCTGCTCATTACACAAGAGAGTCCCACAACTCTGAAACGAACTCTTTTTCCCATCACATTACAAAGTCAGCCTACTTTCTTAGGTCTCTGGAGAAGGTCCGTCGAAGGAAGTGGATGAATTTGAGGAGCTCAGTTTCTCATTCCTCAATAAGGTGATTTTACGGAGGATTCTTTTTGCCCTCTGTATTCTAATCAGGATGAATTTTAAGTTGCGGTGAAAGCTCTGTGTTGTGAATGTATGCTTTTGATTGTTATAAATCACATGGAATACATTTATCTTCAAAGGGACATCAAGCTATTCATCTGCAAATCATCTGAAAATAACACACAGATGAAAGCAGCCAATACTAAGCTAGATTTTCAGCGATATCCAGAGATAGCTTTCCTTAATGTTAACAGCAGTTATGCACGTAACTGGAAAGAACAAACAGCATTTGGCTACACTAATCTAGGACGTATTACAGAAGAACCGCCATGCTTTAGGTGTCCCCTGATCCAGGAATATCCCTGGTTTGGACTCTGGCAGGGGGAGAAGGCTGCAGCTCTGTGAGCTGCCACTTTCCATCTCCCCGCCACTGGAGGAATGGCATAGCCTGGGAGCAGCAGGTGTGGAGTCACATGTGCCCCTAGGAGTGGGGTGCCAGGTAAGCATCCCCATCCCCCTCACACATCTTCCATCCCAGTCCCCGCCCTGTGCCCTCCATGATCTGCAAAAAATTCCTTCATCCGGCATGCCTGCTTTCTCAGGGTTGCCGGATTAAAGAGGTTCAAGTGTTCCACTGTGAGCTCTGGAATAAGGGAATTACTATCAAATTATCCTACAATGCAATCTCTTTAAAAAAAAAAAAGACTTTTGTAAGTGTGGCATAAAGTTACACTCACCATATGTGTTGTTTGGCTTTAGGATCCATGCCAGTAGATGGTTCATCTAGCAATGTAATCTGCGGATTACCCAGCATACTTAGCGCAAAACATAACTGACATGAAAGAAAGATTAAATATGATTATATAATAGTCCCCATGTTATGAAAACACTCAACTGGAGTTCTTTTAATACTTCCCCCATACCTTGCGTTTAATTCCGACTGCTAATTTCTTTGTTGTTTTCTGTAGATGGTCATTCAATTCAAGGGCTCTTGCAACACTGCAGAACACCCAAAACACATTATTTATCTCATCAATCACTGAAAACATTAAGAAAGCGGATATATTGTTAACCCTCAAAATATGCTCTCTCATTCCTCTTCATATAATTGTTAAATAATTGATTACAGGTGCAACCTGTACTTTTGATTACTCTGCTGATTGCAAACCTTAATCAAATAGTGGGTTTTTTTTTTAAATCCTTATTGCTTTCACATTCCTACATTTTATGCATCTCACTTAAAAATTGCTGAGAATGTTTGTTTTCAAGGTGAAATAAAGATGTCTATAAAACCAATAGGTATTACATACTGGTTTCCCCTCCTCCCCACCTTCCAAATGACGTACACCTCTTGCTCAGACTGCAAAAAGTACAGGTTGCACCTTCCTAAACCAAGACTCTCTGGTCTGGCAACATCCATAATCCAGTAGGACCATGGGTGTACCTGGACGAGAGAGCTCTGAGGCAGGAGGGCTGGGAGCTCGAGGGTGCAGTAGCTTAGAAACAGAACCACAGCTGCAGCAACCTGGCTGGGGCAGAGGCAGTCCTGCAGCCCAGCCAGGGCTGGGTGCTGCTCAGCAGTAGGGCTAGCTCTGTGGCAGCCCAGCAGGGCTCGTACAGGGCCTGCACTGCAGTAGCACAGCCGCTAGGGAGGTGGGGCAGGAGAGGGGCAGGGACTGGGGAAGGCCAACAGGCAGCACGGCTAAGGTGGAATGAGCTTGTGGCAGGGAGGGACCGTGGCAGGGGACTTCCTGGGGTCCTGCAAATTCCTTCCTTCGGGACCAGTCTGGTCCTGAGGGTGCCAGACCAGGGAGGTCCAACCTGTAGTCTACTTCTCGTCAGATAAAAACATGGTGCAAGAAACCTCTGACATCTGTTGTTAGATTATTAAAACAGAACCCAACGAAAACATGACTGCAAGCAAGCAACGCAGCCGTTTGTTTTTTTACCATTTTACGACTTCTGCCACATCAGCTTTAGTCATTCCTTTGATAGAGCCATATATTTCAAAATGCTCCTGCAATGTAATATCTGGCCAAAGTGGATTTATTTGGGGGCAATATCCCATAAATTTAACGGAGTTATCCTCACTAGTCCATCCTAAAGAAGTGTCTCCCATCAGAACCTGTAGAAAAAGACCGCCCTTAGTCAACAGTATGTTTATAGGTTTGCATGTCTTTATAAAAAGAAAAACAAATACTTATAGATGTTAGTGAGCCAGTACGAAATGAACAGCCCGATTCATTTTCTATTAATTCTCAGCCACATACTCTACCTGGCCATCAGTTGGTTCCACATCTCCTACCAGCATGCTAATCAGTGTACTTTTCCCAGCTCCGTTTGGTCCTAACAGTCCAAGTATTTCTCATGAATAAATCAATCAATAAAAAAGAAAGACATACAAAGTGTTACCCATGCCTCCCAAGAACAAACTGGATCTTTTTTCTTCTAAAAAAATATAACAGTTCAATGCTGACTAATTTAATGCCAACCTTTCTTTACACAAAAAGAAACATGCTTAGTAGCCACTTTCTTTATTTTTCTCCCAGGAAGAATATCTTTCCTTTCATCATATTCTTTATGCAGACTGCTGATCAGAATGGCTGGTTTCTAAAAAACAGAAGGTATTCATTTAATTGAGTTTTAAAATATACTTTTTCAAAACACTCTCACCAGTGGACAAACTTAAAAGTTTATCACAATAAACTGAGATTCTTTAGCATTTTACTAGGGTTAGACAGAGAGATTAGATAATCCCATATTTTTAATAAATAGGTACAGTTCTACTTCACCATAGCTACACGTCTTTCTTAGGATCACCTACACGTTATCCCCCTTATTTCTATTCAGTGCCCCGGTTTTTCACTTCTGTGTCCTCATTGGCTCTATACACTGCAAAACCATTTTAAGGGTCCGATTTCACACCTGACCCCTATGCAAGACAATGCCTACTGAAAAGGCAGCAGCAGAATGAGAGACAGGCCCGCTGACAGGAATTTCAGGCCTCGGAACAGCACAATAAATGGGCCCCACCTGTCCCCCCTCCCTTGGATGGAGCCACAAGCCCAGCCCCCTCCAGCCAGCGAAACCCAACTGCTCAGTCAGAGGACCTCCTGGTCACAGTCCCAGCCCCCACCTGCCGGAGGTGCGCCTCCCACCCTCATTCCCCTCTCTGCCCCCCGCAGAAGCCCCACAGGCCCCAGCTAGGCTAGCAGGTAGACCACGAGTGGCCCTCCCTCCCTTCAATGGGCTGCAATATTGTCCTCACCAAGCCCGTCTCCTGGGTCAGGGTAGTTTTACTCACTGCGCTTGCATACCTACAATTTGCTGGCTGTGCTGACTGAACCGTAGCAGCGCTGTGATTGGGTGCAAAGGGAGCAGTACTCCAGCTGAGGCCTAACTAGGGTGCAAAGGGAGTGCGCGGCTCTCACAGTCACCGTTAGGTGCAATCAGCACGCACCTCGCTTCACCGGCCCTTGCTTTACACGTGTCACTTTAGCAATAACGGATAGAAAAAAACCGACGCGGGTGGAAACCAGCAGAATCTGGCAACCCTGCGCACCGGCAATGCTAAAGAATATGTCTCATGGGTCCTACACAGAGCCCTCTTGGGCCGCAGGTTGCCCTCCACAGATCACACTCCTACCAGCCTGAAGTGGCAGTTCCTATTGGTTTGGAATCTAAAAGGACCAACCTAGTGAGACACAGAGCTGTTCTTCAGGCCATAATTCTAGGTTTTACCATGGGGAAGAGGTAGAAGGCAGAATGAACGGACACACAAGGAAGGTGCCGGAGACCAAAGATAAGAAGTACTGATATTAACTTGGGACAAAATAGAATCCTGCTTTGCTCATCTGAATCTTTTAAATACCAAATCATTCAAACAAATCACTAATTCGGAAGACGAAGCCAATATCTAGTTCTAGTATTTCCAATTAAGCATTAATGTATTATTATCAAAACTGGCATACGTTGAAGAGTTTAAACTGTAAGCAAGGGAGGTTTAGGTTTGACGTTAGGGAAAATTTCCTGTCAGGGTGGTTAAACTCTGGAATAAATTGCCTAGGGAAGTTGTGGAATCTCCATCATACTTACTTAATGCAGGTTAGATAAACATCTGTCAGGATGATTTAGCTGGTGCTTGGTCCCGCCATGAGTTCTGGAGACTGGACTTGACCTTTCGAGATCCCTTCCAGTTCTAGCATTCTATGAGTCTCTGATTTATTGACACCAATTTTATCTGGTCTCACCTTGTCCCCAAGTGATTCAATCATAATTACCTCATCACAGCTCTGGCAGGTTGTCATTTCTTTGACCCACAATCTCTCTGCCTTTACATCTTCATCCTCATTTTCATTATGTAGATCATCTCGAAGTTTCCATGGTTTGATCTTTGTAGTAGCAGTAGTTGTTCTAAAAAGAACAACAAATATTAAACTTCTGTTCAGTTGTCTTTAAGCAGACAAAACTCCCAGAAATTTCACTGGAGTTCGCTCTCATTATGGACAGAAAGATCAAGTCCTTTGTGTTTATTAGGCAATAAACTCATCAGTTATCCATATGCGAAGAGGAGGAAGAAAAAAAATATCAGTGGAAAAAGTCTTCTAAAAATGAAATTCAATTGAGAACTGCAGTCAAAGGGAATAAGCAAAAAACGGGCACTATAGGTCATGCCACAGAAATACAGATCTTTTAAATGTAAACAAATCTTTTTCTTGTTGCATCTTAGCCACAGAATCCTGGTGAACATTAAAATTATTTCACAAGTTACACTGGTCTTACTTTTATAGACAATGGAGTAAATTTTCATAGCTGTTCATTATGAAACAGCTTTACAACTTCTATTAACCTTTAGGAATAGTCTCAAAGGGGGTTGCCTTGATAGTCTGTAACTTTAAAAACAAGAACTAGTCCTGTGGCACCTCAGAGACTAGCAAAAATATATATAATATCATGAGCTTCAAACCACTTTATCACTTGCCCACAAAAACTCATTGTCACTTGCCCACAAAAACTCATTGTGTGTGTGTGTGTGTGTATATACACACACACACACAAATTGTGGCTTTGACAATCCTTACACTTCTATGGAAATTTAAATTACTCAACTACATAAAAGCAAGTAGAATATGCAAATTAGTTTTCCAGACAGAAGATATACCCATGTCTTAAAATACTGAAAAAGGCCAATATTTTGACTATTTCAGAGTTCCATCATTTTGCAAACAAGGGCCCTGATCTTGTAACCATTTGTAAGTGGTCAAATATCCTGCTTGTATTTCCTATTAAGATTGAGACCATAATGAGAACATTCTGAATACTGTCTGTGACATTTATCTGCACGCTGTTCCTAAAGACAATGAAAAGTTCTGTGGTACCTTAGAGGCTAACAAATACACAGACACACACAGATATATATAATATATAATTTCACGAGCTTTCATAAGCATAACCAACTTCATCAGATGAGATGAGCTTGAGACTCAGAGGGTTAGATGTGTTAATCTGTAACTTTAAAAATGAGAAGTCCTGTGGCACCTAAGAAACTAACAATTATATATATATATATATATTACATACACACACAAATATATGCACATGTATATATTACACACACAAAACGATTAGGGGTAGGGAACAGCATATATATTAGGAAACATTAAAAAGACTGCAACTGTTCCACTTAGAAAAGAGACAAGGTGGGAAACCACTGAAGCCAATAACATCACGAATGGTGTGCAAAAAAATGAGTAGGGATGTATTATTTACCTCTTCACATCTCACAAGAACAAAAGGTCACCCAATGAAATTAACTTTACAACAAACATAAGGTATTACTTCTTCAGAATGCTTTACCACTGGCTGTTGTGATGGCCCCAAGTATAATTAGCTTCAAAAATGAATTAGGTCCGTTCACGTTGAATAGGTCGACTGCTCGTTATTTGCCAAGATGGTCCAGGATCCACCCAATGCTCCAGGTGTCGTAAATCTTCCACTGCCACAGGGTGGAACTGCATGACAGGTGATGGATCCCTCAGAGTTGTCCTGTTTTCTTCATATTCTCTGAAGCAGTGGGCACTGACCTCTGAGAGATGACAGAATCCTGGACTATTGGACTGACTAAGCATGGCCATTTTTATGGAGCTCATGTGAACTGCACACATACATTTTATGAGAGAATGACCCTTACAGTAATCATTCTAGCAGAAAAAAAATTATCTAAATTATGTCAGGATGATCGGCAGTACAGAACAAGCAACATCTGCATTGTTTTAAAACATCAATGGAACGCAATAGGATATAGGACTCCAGTGACAAAGGATTTTTCCTTATCTTTAATGTGCCTTCTAGTGCACATTAGCTACTTCCATTTATCAATATTAACCTTGAGATTGCTTTTTAATACAGAGATTCTATCAACTGACACATACCTGAAAAATGGGTCCTTTCTTATCGATTTACCTCCATGTTTCAGTTCAAGATATCGCAGAAGGAACAGCCACACTACACATTGCAAATAAGGCTAAAACAGACAGAAAAACAATTACCGTTAATCAAAACATTTCTAGCAACTTGAGGCCAAATGGTTGTCCATAGGATAAATTCAAAGAAATGTCATTCCTTCCTAGCACAAAGGTATTCATGACAAACTCCTAGGTAGTGAAACCATATTGCTAATGAATTCCATTGGATCTCAGGGAAAAATTTCAGAAGGGTAGCCGAGTTAGTCTGTAACTAGAAAAACTTAAACAATGAATAGCCTAGTAGTACCTTAAAGACTAACAACACATATAGGGGTACCAAGAGCTTTCATGGCCATAACCCACTTCCACTGTTTCATATAACATAAGAGGAAAGTTTAGTAGCACTTTAAAGACTAAAAAAACACCTGAAGAAGTGGGCTGTGCCCAGGAAAGCTCATGATACCATCTACATGTTTTGTTTGTCTTTAAAGTGCCACTAGAGTAGTAGTTGTTTTTTAAGTTTTTCCTGTGACAGAATAACTTGGCTACCCCTCTGAAGCATAAGAGGAATGTGTTATTAGAATAAGAATATACTTCCAGTTTTGTATAAAATGTATATATGTATGGACTGAACCGTTGATTAACGGGTATCATCTTCTAGGATGCCATTGGTGAGCGTCTAAACCAGCCCTCAACTGGCCAATGCAATTACAGAAATCACAAAAATTGACCATCTGTGGGTGTGGCATATTCTTTTAGGATCCTACACTTGTAATCTCTGGATATGTTGACTCTCAAAGCATATGAGAGCCTGAACAATAATTGCCGCTAGAACAATGTGTCCTACATTATGATTTCCAGGTCACCAGAAGATATTTATGTATTTATTTAAAATATTTTTTCCTTGCCTCTCTATTTAAAATATTCAAGGCGGCTTACAAAACAAATATATATATAATTAAAATAGAGCCCAGGGGGACATAGAATCTGCTAAGACATCTCGAGAGGAAGGATGGATGGACACACGGACGCGCACACACTCACACAAACATTTACAAAGGGTGGTGTTAGCTTGGCGCCAAAACAATGCTAGCTTTGGCACCAGGCGAATATCCTGGGAGAGAGAATTCCACAGCTTGAGAGCAAAAGCTGAGAAGGCCCTGCTCCGCATAGATGTAAATTTTATCTCCACAAGTGGAGGAACACAGAGCAAAGCCTCCCCAGCTGACCTCAATTCCCGGGCAAGTTCATATGGGAGAAGACGGACCTTGAGATACCATGGACCCAACCTGGTTAGGGCTTTATAAGTCATAAAAGTCATCACCAAGATCTTAAATTGGGCCTGGAAACATACCAGAATCCAGTGCAGCCGCTGGAACACTGGCATAATGTGCTCCGTATAAGGAGTGTTAGTTAAAACTCGAGCAGCTGCATTCTGGACCAATTGAATATAAGATGTGATGCATGATTTCATGTTGGCCTTTTAAGATACCTAACTCTAACTCTAAAATATAAATCAGTCACTAAAGAGTGAAATAGGATATAAATCAGTACTTTTTAATTAATAGTTCTGAAATGGTTTTCTGAAGTTCAGCCCACAAAACAGGACAGGAGAGAAAAATGTTATTTTAAGTCACTGAATGTGACGACTTTCTCTTTTCAAGGAGAAATCTGTCCTAGGACAGACCTTTATTAAGATGTGAAGGCTATACTAGGCCTCAGGGAAATGATCTGGTAATGGCTCAGTCTACTTTCTAGCAGATAAGAGTTTATATGAAAAAACAACATCTCCTTGGCAGACTCAATAGGGAGGCTAATGACTCAACACACCAAGACTAAAAGCCTCCATGACCCCAATCAATAGTTTTATCTCCCATGGGGAGGGTTGAGCCATACTGTCGGGACAGTGTGCGTTGAGCTGAGGATGTGTTTCTCTGAAGTTGCCTATTCTGTATATCATTTCTAGGCTGCAGAGCAGCAGTTAATCCACTATTTTATAAGCATTTAATCAAACTCTTAAACACGTCACAACATGAACGTGGCTTTTCAGTCCCAAAAAATGTTTCCTGACATTTCTGACAAATAACGGGTGCTTACCGCCATCACGGCTACCAAGAGCCTGTCCCACGGATCATAGTGGTTTTCATTCTTCTGGAGGTCTTTCCACGATATCTGGCAACGTGATGAATGTTGACACAGAAACGTTCACCCACGATACATATTCTACCTATACATTTCATTTCAAATTATAATTGACTATTGCAGACAATTTATTTATACACTTGATGAGCCTGTTTCAGGTTTGCGCTGACTTTACATCAGGGCAATTCCATTGACTTCTCGAGCGGTACTCTATGTCTACATGGGGATAGAGCAGGAGTGGGCCATATTGGAGTAAGCAGATTATATGTTGGGCCACAAAGGCTTGCTGGCCCAACCTCCTTCCAGTGGGACAATGTGCCACTGGACCAAAGGGGTATGACCAAGAGCTACAGCCAATGGGGGAGCCATAGAAAAATGTGGGCTGTTGCTCCAACCCCCTGCTTCCTGGCTGGAGTGGCAGGTGGAGCGGGACATGTCCTGATCACACTTCCTGGCTAGAGCTTGAGGGCCAGTTGAAAAGGTCTGATGGGCTGGTTGTGGCCCATAGTTTGCCCACCCTTAGAGTAGACACAGATCAGAATCAGAACTAGGGATGTTAAAAAAGCAGTTCATTAGGTAACTGCGTAACCGGGACAAATCTTAGCAGTTACACACTGGGAGTTCCCTGGGAGCAAGGCCAGCAGCCAGAGCATGCTGGGAGCTGGCTCCAGCTGCCAATCCCACTCCCAGGAATATAAGGCCATAAGAATGGCCAGACTGGGTCAGACCAAAGGTCCATCTAGCCCAGTGTCCTGTCTGCTGACACTGGCCAATGCCAGGTGCCCCAGAGAGTGAACAGAGCAGGGAATCATCAAGCAATCCCTCCCCGTCATCCATTCCCAGCCCCTGACAAACAGAGGCTAGGGACACCATTCCTACCCATCCCAGCTCATAGCCATTGATGGACCCAACCTCCGTGAATTTAGTTCTTTTCGGAACCGTGTTGAAGTCCTGCTCTTCACAACATCAAGGAAGCCAGCTGCGCTGCTGGCGCTGCAATAAGCTTTATACTTTTAAACTGGCTCCCAGTGCACATTGGCTCCCGCCTTCCACCCTGACAAAACGGCATCTTTTCCAGCCCCGGGGAGTCAGCTGCATGAGACTGTATCAAAGGCAGCAGCACGGGGCAGCAGCCGGCTTCTGGCGCATACTGTCTGTCAGCCCCATTCCCAGAGAGCCAGCTACCGCCCTGCACCACGGGGTCTCGTGCAGGGTAGCAGCCAGCTCCCCGGCTGCCGATGTGTAACCATTACGGTATCAGCTCATGCTTATTGGTTAACCGTTTAAACAGCTACACTATTATATCCCTAAAGAGGACGAATGCATTCTTTCAATTGCAGGTTCCAAGTGATCAAAACCAAGAGACAGTGCAACTGCACAGATAGAGGGATAAGAAATTTGCCTTTATATATTTATCAAAGGCTTTGTTTCTTCCAGCTTCTAAAACTAAAACCAGGGGATAATACGAGCAACTTTTTCAGCAGCTGCTGCTATTTATAACTTAGAAACTGGCCATCAGGCATATCGCAGACCAATGCAGAACTCCCCATTCACTCACATGTAGATGAAACACACTATCTTGCAATCAACACATGTATATATGCACGCATGTATTCAGCTACATATTCTACATACGTATTTCAAAGCTTTAAAATTGAAGTCCTTATAAAAAAAAGGAACCAGCCAACCACAAAAGCTTACCTTTATAAAACTAATCAGGCATCCAATAAGAGGATAGATTGGGATGAAGGCACAGAAGACATAATGAAGAATGGTAATTGCCATAAAATGTCTCATAAAGAATACTATTTCAGTGACAACAGTAGATACCAAAGTAATCTAAAAAGAAAGAAAAAATAGCCTCTGTCATTTGTTGCCATTCAAAAGCCTCTCTCACAAACTGACATGGATTTAAGATTGAATAAAAGTTGTGACAAACTGGAAAATTATGTCTTGGAACTTGTCTTTCTGGTTTGATTTTACATTGCTGCCTGCCTGGATGCAGTTAATGGGGAATTGCTACGGGACCCTGGATGGGTTAAACCAGGGGTCTCCAAACTACGGCCCGCGGGCCGGATGCGGCCCGCGAGGCCCTCTCATCCGGCCCGTGGAGACTGTGACGGGGAAGAAACTCCCCACACTAACAGCCCCTCCCCTGGAGAAGCACCGAGCGGCGCAGCGCCGCGGAGCTGGGGCGGGGAAGAAACTCCCCACACTGACAGCCCCTCCCCCGGAGAAGCGCCGAGCGGCGCAGCGCAGCGGAATAAAACAGGTGAGATCGCTTTTCAAGTACCCAGTGGGCCTGCCACTGAAGTATAAAGAACCTTGCTAACTGGCACCAACTAAACTAGCATCTTTTCCTGTTCCAGGGTCATGTGAAAGACTGCTAAGGAGTTAACACAGTGCCCTGGCAAAAGGGAGGGAAGGCGTGCCCGACTCACTTGGAAGCTTACAAAGGCACAGTCAGCACACAGCAAGGCTGACAGACAGACAGACAGACTTGAGCTTGAGACCCGGGGTATCTGTAACTTGGTACCCACAGACAATGGGCAACACCAAGGTTGTCATGCCTACCCAGGGGAACCACAAACATGGCTCTGACAACAACATGCACACAGGCCTTTGCAGGGTAGCTGACAGCCTCCATGGGCCCCCGGATCTGGTGAGGGAAGGCCCGACTCTACACTCTGGGAAGGAGTGGGCCCAGAGCATGGTGCACCTTCCCCCGCAGCCCTTAGCGCCGCCCAGAGCATGTACCGCAGTGCCCTGGAAATGATTTAAAGGGCCCACGACTCCAGATGCTGCCACTGCTACTGTGGCAACGGCCAGAGCCACCGGCCCCTTTGAATCACCAGGCCCCGGGGCACCTACCCTATCTCCCCCCATGTTGGTGGGCCTGGTGGGTCTTTGTTATTTTTAAATCCACTTCTCTCAGGCTACATCTACACTACGAGTTTTCTTGGCAAAAAATATGCTAATGAGGGACTCATTTGCATGAGTCGCGATCTCATTTGCATTTTTTTTGCGCTAGGGGTTTTTGTGCAAAAACAAGCCGTGTGGACGTTTTCTCTTTGCGCACAACTCCCTTTTTCCGCAGAGGTATTCCGATCTTGTGGGAAAAGAGTTTTTGGTGCAAAAAGAAAAGGTCCACACTGCTTGTTGTTGTGCAAAAACTGCTAGCCCAAAAATGGATTGGCAGAAAATATGCAAATGAGATTGCAACATGCAAATGAGTCCCTCATTAGCGTATTTTTGGCTGAGAAAACTCGTAGTGTAGACGTACCCTCGGTTCTGTATAACATCTGAGCATCTTTGTTTTGCACAAACTGCTTCTGCGTACTACCTGTGACCATTGGGTGCCAGAACAGAACTCTGGCTCAGCTGCAACGACTCGGTCACATTGCTGGCTCCCAGGGAGGTGTAACCCGGAGACCCAGTTGGAGAGTGGCTACATTGCAGACCCCACACCAAAAAGAAGTGGAGGCAGAGACCCCTGCCACCAAAAAGGACTGCACTTGAGGGACTGGGAGATGATTTCTGGGTAGGCTGCCCCTTCAGAGATTGTGAGACAAGTCATGTTTGATTCTATGCCGAGTCAAAAGCATCTATTCCTGTAGCAAGGAAAAGAAGTGAAGTGGCATATACATTTAAACCATCTGTCATTTACTTACATTTCTTTCCTTTTCCCTTGCAAGTTCAAGAAATGGCAAATGGTTAAAGAGGAGAGAATTCTTTTCCAAAACAGGTTACTTGAAAAAAAATGCTGACGCTCTAGCTCCCCTCCAGATTGGTGATAGAAATGTAGCCGTGTTAGTCTGGGGTAGTTGAAGCAAAATGCAGGACAATGTAGCACTTTAAAGACTAACAAGATGGTTTATTAGATGATGAGCTTTCGTGGGCCAGACCCACTTCCTCAGATCAAATAGTGGAAGAAAGTAGTCACAACCATATATACCAAAGGATACAATTTAAAAAAAATGAACACACATGAAAAGGACAAATCACACTGCAGAACAGGAGGGGGATGATAGACTGACTTACCACTGAAAAAATAAATGACCAAAATTCTTTGGTATTGTGAAATTTTTTAAAGGTAAAAGAGACCACATAGGTGAACAGCACCACCGATGGTACATAGCCAATGAGGCAGAAGAGCTGCAAAGGGGGGGGAAAAAAGAAATTTCTTATATTCATCATATATGATTGCCTCAGAATGCATAGTATATTAAAGGATACAAACTTGTTACTGACATTTCTTTTGTAAATACCTGAATACTTTTAGACTTAGTCTACCCTGCAGGGTTTTTGTGGAAAAAGCCTTTTGCACAAAAGTTTTTGTGCAAAAACTTCTTCCACAAAAACACACCCACACCTCAAAGCACATCACTTTTGCGATGTGCTTTTGCACAAGACAGCATCCACACTGCATGGACATTCTTGTGTAAGAAAGCTCTGATGGCCATTCACAGAGCACCTGTGCTTTTCCTGATAGAGCATCCACACTTGCCTTTTTGTGCAAGAACTCCTCTTGTGGGGAGAGGAATAACTCTACCAGCAAAAGCCCTCTCTTTTGCCGATTGACTTGCGCAAAAGCGCATTTGAGGTGTGGATGCTCCTCCGGTTTTTGCACAAAAACCTTGTAGTATAGACATAGCCCCAGAGTATATTTTAATTTCAATTGAGCCTGTCAGTTAAAAGCTAAATTAACTGTTTGAGATGCTGTAAGTCAAAATGATACAAACAATTAAAACTTTCTGGTAAAAAATTGCAAGCAGGACAGCATGTCTAATCTCTCAATTAAATATTCATCTTTTCTCAAGTGGTCTCCCATAAACACTAATGAGACGCATGTTTTGGTAACTGCAGGTTTCATCTTCAATTAATTTCACTGACTTTTGCAGACATTAAAACAAGAGTCAGCACACTGGAGGGAAGGATGGAATGATAATCAAGTGATAGCATGCCAGCTCAAAGGAAAACCCAAAGGTTCATAGTTCTCAACTAAGATCATGGTGCTCTGGCTCCAGAATACTATAGCTATGGACCCTGGAAGGCCTGGGGTATCTGACCCTACGGAAGGGGACCTTAGCAGGCTCGCCCAGATTGGGAGACTCTGATAGCCTCAGTTGACAAGGAGCAGCAAGTGCAGTAGCTGAGGCTCTCAAATTCCCTGCCAATTTGCCAGGCAGACTGCGGTGAAGGTGGGAGTCCGGAAGCTTGGAATCTCCACTAGCTAAGCATGTGGCGCTGGCAGTAAGCCAGTCAAGAAATCTGCCTGGTAGGCTGGAGTCTGTCTGAAATTCGCCAAACCGGAACAGCCTCCATGGAACATTTAGATTTCAGTGATCTAGCAAATTCCAGGGCAACAATGTTTGGGTGAAATGGTTCCATCCAGCTCTAATGTTTGCAAACGAAAATGAACCCATCATGTTTCTTCTTCACTTTAATCGAAGGCTTTAATGAGAAGCAAATAAAACTAGACTTACCGCCGCAAGGAACTTCCAGGTATCAAAATAAACACCGTGATGAAATGCAAATAAGCTTCCTATCATCAGAACGAGAATAATAAAAAATAAAGGAAAGTCAACAACTGCTTGTCCACTCCAGTAAGCTGATGGATAAAGACCTGAGATCTTAAGTTGAGTGTAGGCTCTGATCTGTTAGAGGGGACAAAATCACAGTAATGTTAATTTTTATCATTGCTTAAATTATTTGGGCTTAATTCTGCTCTCAGAAACTCAGGCTCTGAATTAGCATCACTCCATAGAAAAGCAGTTTCTCCTCTCTTGGTGTTAACACCTCCACATCAGCTCCTAGAAGAGGCCTTCATCCTCCCTGACTGAATTGACGTCGTTATCTCTAGCCTTACTCTTGCTTGGTACTCTTTTCTTATGCCTGTATATTTATACCTGTCTCTGGAATTTCTACTACATGCATCTGACAAAGTGGGCCTTTGCCCACAAAAGCTTATGCTCCAATAAATCTATTAGTCTATAAGGTGCCACAGGACTTCTTGTTGTTCTAGCATCACTCCAGTGTCTCAACTAGAGTTTTTCCCAATTTGCAACTTTTAGGTGCCAAGAAAGGAGGTCTGGGTATCCATATCCTCCCCCCCCCCCCCAAAAAAAAACCTCTTGGGAAGAAGAGACAGAAGCAAAACACCCAATAGGAATACGAACTGTGTGCCCTCTGTGATACAACTTTCTCTGATTTTACCTGTGAAGCTAGCTGCTAGCAGGCTATGAAAAGAATAGAGTATCCAATTCCATTTCAAAATCTACAGCCACTTCTTCTCTATGCAAAAAAAACCCCTCTGTTTCTGCTCACATTCATATTTGATCCATAAATCTCAAAGGGGTAGTCGTGTTATTCTGTAACTTTAAAAACGAGTGGTCCTATGGCAATTTATAGACTAACCAAAATGTATGGAATCATGAGCTTTCATGGGTAAAACCCATATTCTCAAATGAATTGGAGTGGAAATAACAGAAACCAAAAGATCTATATCTGACTATGTCTATCAGAAGAAGAATTACCTCTCAATTGTAAGGCCCATTACACACAAACCTGCAGGAAAACATTTTAACTTGCCTGGTCACTCAATTGTGGATTTAAAAGTAGCCATCCTTCTATGAAGAAATTTCATTAATCCATTACATAGAGAGTCGGCAGAACAGGAATTTATCTACAGATTTGACACCGTTACCAGGGGCCTAAACAAAGACATTAACTGGTTGGTGTATTACAAAGTCTATTTCTCCTGCCATTAACATCTGCATTTCCACATCAAAAGCTATGTTTGGGACACACCCAGCCCACTTAGCCTCATTAACCAGGTCTGACCATTGAAAGTATTTATTTATTTATTTATTTATTTATTTATATCTTGGATTCTGTTATTTCCACTCCAGTTCTCTAAGATGCTAATTGCATCTACACAGCAATTTGCTAAGGGTGTGTCTACAGAGCACCCTTAGCTCATAGCTTATTTCAATGCTATTTCGAAATAGCTTATTATTAACTCACTACGAATAACTCACTATTCTGAAATTCCCCTTAACCCTCGTGGAAAAAGGGTTACCAGGGATGTCAGAATAAGCCACTCGTTATTTTGAAATCTGTTTTGAAATCTATTTCGAAATAATGGACTGCTTCAAGAGACATGGAGTAGCTATTTCAGGATACTTCCGGCATCCTAAAATCGCTCCGCAGTGTAGGTGTACCCTAAGGTGCCACAGAACCACTTGTTAAATTTGATTTATGTAATTTGTCTCCACAGCTATTTGTTGGTCTTATATAAAATTGAATTTATATACATTTATTTTTGGGATAGATACATCCAGTAAAGAGACACATTTATAATCTTTTGAAAATTTAGGAGTGCTGATGTAACTGCTACTGGGCTGATTCAAACCTAGGACCTCTGAAGCTTAGTGTACAAGCCTCTACAGCTTGAGCTATAAAGCCAGGCGGCTCTCAGCCTAGGCTATAGAGCTCCCTTGTTCTTATCTCTTGCTCTAAGAGTGGTCTAAGTGCCACTACATGGGACAGTGAACCACACTAGCTGTGTGAGTTACACTAACACCCCACTGGGTTCTGAAGCTGGGGTCTACAAACCATCTAACTTTTGCATCCTAGACAACAGCCATTACCACATTATTACTCCTTGATTATACCATGCAGAAATGACCTTAGGAAAAGGTTTGTTATTTGTTCACATACTTGAGTTTTAAAATGGTCAAAACTGCATGTTTCAAAGATTACCTTGTGGTTTTCTGCAT